TAACTCGATTTAGCAGAAGTGAATCCAAAAATCCTGCTTATGTGCATAAGAGCCAAGTTAACTTCCAACTCAGAGTCAGAGAAAAATATAGAACCAAAAGAGTTGTTCACTAGTGGCGGTGAGTGAAAAAAAGAACTGTTCTTCTCAACACTATTGTTTAGTTATATAACCAAGAAATGTTAGTCTCAATCTCCATTGTATTTCATTTTCATTGATACAGCAGCCCAATTCAACATACTGCCCAGTTTATACAACTCTTGCTGTACAACTCAACAGAACTTTCTCACTTTGTTCTCAGGACTCACTCACTGTTGTTGAAGTAAGATACTGGCTTGGTATGGTGCCATAACAGAGAACAAGGTTTACTTTTTTATAATTTGTATAAATTATTAATTAATTTGGACTAAGAATAGAAGTTGGTGTTTTTACTGTTTGCAATCTTAATATCTCTGAACAGAGCCAGGCTAGCGGGTTCCACTGTGCATGCATTCTTGCATGCTTGCTAAATTTAAGCTAAACCCACCCCATTTTGTTTTGTGCTCCAGTAAGAGTTGAGCAAACCTCGGTCAGAACCACAGTCACCTTTTTTCATTCGTGTACCAAGATATGCTATGTGCTAAGCTCATGTATGTTGAAATCACACGATAAAAGAAACATAGTCTATATATCACATCTTAAGTCCAGTGTGTAACATTTAGGAGGCTCTATTGGCAGAAATTGAATAAAATATTAATAGGTATGTGTGTAATCACCTGAAAATAAGAATCATTATGTTTTTGTTACCTTAGAATGAGCCGTTGCAGATGCATTCTATGCAGTCCTCCATGCTGTATCTTCATGTTTCTACAGTAGCCCAGAAACCAAACACTGACTAGATAGGGGCGTTTGCCTTTTTCACAGCCACTGTAGCTTCTCTTTTGCTCTTGAAAGGGGAGGGTGAAGTGAGCGAGTTGCAATCTGCAACTATACCACTAGATACCACTATATCCTACTCACTGGACCTGATAGCTGGCAAATGTTAGCAAAACACTAACTAGTTATCTAATATACTCATTATCACTATCTAGCAGGCTAATTATTAGCTAGCTAACAATGGATGTAGATTTGCTAGCTAGTTTGCTAGCATTTTGCTAACATAAGATTTTAAAACTGTGTGTGTGTCTGTGTGTCACTTTTATCTTTTAATCACCTTCAAAATGTGAGGATGGGAAGGGTCAGTTTTCAAGTGAAACTGTCGAGTGACATTTCTGAAACTTCTTCTGGCATTTCTGTTCTGTAAGCATGAATGGTGACAGCGAATGTTCAGCTGGGTACACAGTGACAGGTTGCTGAGGTACAGCGGCCTGACTCGGCACAATGTTGACCTCTGAGTGATCTAACATGAACACAAACACAGGGGATAAATAATACACGCAGCAAAACAAAATGATTCAGTGCCTCTCACTGATCAGTGTCCAAATACGCAAAAGGAAAAGTGTTGGAAAGGACCAGAGGGTCTTTTGATGAGCAACACTCAGCACACACACCCATACAGACACACAGGGTTGAATGGGTCTCCTGGATTAACAGCAGTGACTCAGTGTTATTGACCCCGGGGCTGTATTTTTTAACCAGTCTGTTAAACCTCTGTTTGCTAGCATTTGACTGTTTGGTGGATTGGAAGCGCACAGGGTGTTCAAGGAGACTCTTGAGCGTAGCTTGTGTGAGTCACAACTTTTCCCAAACAACACGACACACACACACACGACACAACACACACACACACACTCCCTTCCTTCCCCACCCTGTCCCGACCTATGGGGTGCAAGTCGTGAGTTGCATTACTGCTGCAGTCTGCTCTGTTCGGATGAGGAAGGGAGCTTTATTACGACTTTGTGTCTCTGCAGCTCAACTCTTTTCTTGCACTGCATTGTATTACAAGCAGCGGTTGTCCTCTCAAGTCAACCGTTTGTCGTTGTTTTATGCGATATATGGACTGTCGTGCAAAAACACACTCCAACTCTGCAGAACGTTTGTTTTATATATAATGAGATTAGTCAAGGTCATATCGCCATAGAAAGCAAGGACACACTGTCTCTCATAAGAGCAGCCGCAGTGTCTCCTCTGCTGCAGACACAGAGGGGGATGATCCAGGTTATCACACAAAACTGTGCCGTCCATCCTCTATCTCTCTATTATCCCCTCCTCATCTGCTCCTCCTGTCTGTCTCAACTTTCTCACCTTCACAAGGTCTGTGCCGCCTCCTCCTTTCATCCAATTGGCTTTCCTCTCCTTCTCTTCCCCTCTTTCTCCATCCAACCCTCCCTCTCGATCCCTATCTCTACTTGCTGTCTTGTCAGCGCAGAAGCTGCTTGCATGTCGACCTCTCTCAGGCTGTCTTTGGACAGCGATGGTGTTACATAACAGGCCTAACTTAATAAATCCTGTATGATGTGCTGTGATGTGCTTTAATCTGTTGCGACAGTGGCCAGAGAACATGCTGCCTTCCAGAGCCTACGTCACACTGCATAGAGTAGGATAGTAAAATCGTAAAACATAAAAAGAAAAATCCAATATCAGAACTATGTTACACAAAAGGAATGAATATGTTATACTGTTTTCAAATAATGTGTATTTAGTCTAAGTAACGGTATGGAAGCCCATTTCTGTCAATGTGACGAGGAAAAAAAGATTTTGTAAGTCAGTATAATGACAACCTTTTTCAAAATATTGACCTAGTATCTTAAAATAATGACTCTGAGATACTAAGTCAGCTACCATCCCTAAAAAATCCCTGCCGCCACCTCAGTTTGGTGTCAGATGCTATCAAATTTAACATATTTATTTAGATAAATAACATGTTAGAAAAACAGAATTTGATTTAATTATCTCTTATGGCCACATTTTAGACATACTAGGTTTAAATTCAATGAAAAAATACGATATATATTTGGAAAAATGTCTGCAGATTTGAAAAATATATTCCCTGTTTGATCTAAACAGCCCCAGCAGCCAATTCGATTTAAGCAATGGCTGCAGGTTTGTCCCTATTTATCCGCCCTGCTCCCTGTGTTTCATCTTCCTCTCTTTGATTCACTCAGTCTTTGATCATGACAATTCACATCACATGATACAGCAGACTGATAATTGATTGAAACTAAAGGATGTTAATGAAACAGGATTTGGAGGCATTAGGCCCATTTACTCTGAACATGTGCAGCACTCAAACCTGCCCGACATCTGTGTGTTCATGTGCACAATGTGTTTTCCTCTGTGTATTCATGCCAGAGGCCCGTACTGTTGCTTTTTTGCAATGTTGAGGTGGAGGTGATGTAACAGGGAAAGCTGTGACCCAGTGTAACATCTGCACTGTCACAGCCAATGTAAATAACTACTTTCCTTGATTAAAGTTGTATTAAGACATGGGTCTGATGGGTGCTGGAGCCTTTAACCTGGATTATTTCTCATGTATTTTGATTAGATTCAACGCAAGTACGTTGTTCAACTTGTGAATAACCAGGGGGAAATATAATGTATTAGCTGCTTCAACTGTCATTGTTAATGATTAATAAAAAATGTGCATCTTTGAATGGGGGATGAGGGAGGTTTGAGAACCACTGACTGTAGTGGGAGAGAGGACTGGAGTCAGTCAGCGTGTAGAGGTGTTACAGCAGGAAGTGACTTACAGCTGGTGCCTTGCATTTACACACATGTAGTACACAAACCCAGCACTCAAGAGCCCACTGAGTTGTGTGTGATGCATTATTGATGTGAGTAATCCTCCTCCTTTCCCCTCCACGTGCTCTTTCCTTCTGTCTCTATGCGTCTCTCTCAATCTCAACCCCACTATTTGCATTCAGCCTTTTCCAGCATTGTACCGCTTTCTGGGGTCGCAGACGGGGGGGATAAATGATAAAATTTTTATAAGATGCTCTGTCCTCATCTCCCGTCTCCAAACAGGCACATGGGAACTCTCACATCCTTACATGCAGATGAAAATGTCAGCTCCCTTTACTTACTTCTGGCACTCTCACTGGTATTTGGCCTGAGATGAGACAGCTGAGCAATGATTGGTTAGTTCTCCCTCATGGCCGGCAGGTGATTGGCTGCTGAACCCTGATGTTCTGTCTATGCCAGCTAAGTGTCAGAGCTTGAGTCAGCAGTACCATGCTGCCTGCTGAGGCATCCAGAGCCCAACGGAGAGCAGTCAGCAAGACTGACTCCTTCTCCTCCTCTCTTGCTCTTGGTGAAACCTACATATGCAGTGCTCAGGAAACTGAGAACTTTGAATAATAAATCTGATGTATTGACCAGGAAGAGCATGCACTGCCCTGAGGCTTGAAATCAAATCCAGTTGTTTACATTCTTGGTATTCATCACAGGACGTCATTTCCACTCTCTCTCCAAAGCATAAAAATGCACATTCACTATAGATTAGGGGTGTAAGAAAATAAAAAAAATATTTTATTTTGTGATATTGTATTAATTCTCAAAAACACTGTATGGATTTTTAGGGTTAAACTTCCAACAGCTAGATAGCAGTGTTGCAGACGTAAACTGAGGGCTGTGCTGTTGGATGTTACAGCGATAAATACAAATGCAGATCCGATTGTTCTGGTTGCATAAAAAGTAAACTTTTTTTAGCTCAGATTTTATTCAAACTGTGGTGTGTTTTTTATGACAGTTTAATTTACATCCTTATTATTACAGTTTTTGTCAAATTTAGATTTTTAAAATTAAATATCCATTCCAATATATCACAATATATTAAATCAGAACCCCTGTATCATGATATGTATCGTATTGTGTATGTGTGTAACTTCAGTAAACCCGGTTATTTGTCTTTTTCTCAAGCACTTTCTCAGTCACTGCTTTTGTTGACTGCTCTCTCTTCTTTGTGTGTCTATCATCTCACCGGTCGTGTCTGTGTTTTCCATCCAGGCTCTGTGTTGTGCTGAAGAACGGAGAGACACAGTGAGGACAGAAGAAGCTAAAGGTTATACAAGAGGCTGTTCGGCCCCATGTCTGCTCCTGCTCCAGCCAATCGGAGGTCTGGGTTGGGCTCTCGCCGGTGGGTAGCCAATAAAGACCTGTCATCTGTTTTTTTTCTGTCTGTAAGAAAGCCACAGTTGAAAAGAATGCAAGGGACAAGTTGCTCAAGTTACTCCTTTATGAGGGCTTCTATTTGTCAAGTGTTTCAGAGCAGGAGACCAGCTCTAAGTGGCCAGAAATTCTTAGAGAGACACAACTTTGGTCCTTTTTTTGGGATTAGGAGTAAAACTATTTCATCAAATTTCTGAACTGTGGAAATAGTGCTGAATACCACTGCTGAAGTCACCAGAACATAGAGGCAGAAACATACATGTGTTCTGTGGGAGGAGTGACATTCATTTATGATAACAGCAACACATGTTCCTCACAAATTTACAGCAACAGGGAAAATGTAGCTTTGCAGCAATGATGATTTGGGTCTGTAACAACCACAAATACAGCAGCAATAAATCAAACTTCATCAGATTAATTTCCATAAGGTGTTTCATATTGGTCATATTGTTACAGAAATGAGCAAATATTCCTTACCTGTAAATTAAACCATTCTTGCAGTTAGCAGTCCTCCACCTCTTTGTTCTCTCTCCTGATTGGATAACATGGGAACACGATACCAGAGAATTTACTCTACTACTCTACTAATTGTTTATTGCAGGTAGGAGGGACTGGGACCCATGTTACTGACTGAACAATATCAAACAAAAATTAAAAAAATACAACAAACACCTTTAACAAGGAGTGTTGTTGGAATGGCAATTGGACAGTGGAAGTGCAGCACCATTGGCACATGTGCAATACTGCACAATATATGTAACATTCACTATATCCTGACAGTAGTACATAAGACAGATAATCTGTGAAAAAATCAGGTTCCTCTGATTCCTTCTAGCGCTCCTAAAACCCTACCCCGCTTTATCGCCTATTTTAC